GAAGGCACCTGGAAAGCGGAAGCCAGATAAGATGTAGTCAAAGTGGCGGCCAATGGCACCCATACCGTTTCATCAGCAATGTTGACATCAGCAAGCTTGCTCTTATAATACAAAGTGGAACTATCCTTCCAAGAGGAAACTCCCCCCTTCTTTGAACAGCGAAATACCGGGTGAAGGGGAGATGGCCGTCCCTTTCAATACCTTCGTTCTTGCTTTTTTGTTTCTTCCTCATCACATGGTTGTCTCTCTCTCTCTCTCTCTCTCTGTACCTGTCTGTTTGTTAACCAGTGCAAGCGGAAGGCGAATGGACAAATTGCAACATTCAAAAATTTGGAGTTCCAAGGTCCGGAGAAAATTCAATATTTTTGAAATTTTGAAATTCTTGAAAATTTTTTCCTTTTAAATTAATAGAAATTCAGAAATTTTGAATTTTTGAAAATGTTGAATTTTTGAATTCAAGAATTCAACAATTCAAAATTTTTGAATCCTTCAATTTTTGAATATTTTGAATTCAAAAATTTGGAGTTCCAAGGTCCGGAGAAATTTCAAAATTTTTGAAATGTTGAAATTCTTGAATTGTTGAATTCAAAAATTCAAGATTTCAAGAATTCAAGAATTTTTTCCTTTTAAATCAATAGAAATTCAAAAATCTTGAATTTTTGAATTCTTGAATTCAAAAATTTGGAGTTCCAAGGTCCGGAGAAATTTCAATATTTTTGAAATTTTGAAATTCTTGAATTTTTGAATTCAAAAATTCAAAATTTCAAGAATTCAAGAATTTCTTCCTTTTAAATCAATAGAAATTCAAGAATTTTGAATTTTTGAAAATTTTGAAATTTTGAATTCAATAATTCAAACATTCAAAATTTTTGAATTTCTATTGATTTAAAAGGAAAAAGAATTTTTAATTCTTGAAATTTTGAATTTTTGAACTCAAAAATTTGGAGTTCCAAGGTCCGGAGAAATTTCAAAATTGTTGAAATGTTGAAATTCTTGAATTTTTGAATTCAAAAATTAAAAATTTCAAGAATTTTTTCCTTTTAAATCAATAGAAATTCAAAAATTTTGAATTTTTGAAAATTTTTGAACTTCTATTGATTTAAAAGGGAAGAAATTTTTGAATTTTTGAAATTTTGAATTTTTGAATTCAAAAATTCAAGAATTTCAAAATTTCAAAAATTTTGAAATTTCTCCGGACCTTGGAACTCCAAATTTTTGAATTTGAAGTTCAATCTGTGCAGACAAGGATACCCGAAAGGCCATCCCCAAATAGACCCTAAAGGTCCTACGTACAGACCCGTCAAGAATCTGGAAAACTTCGACCCTGAGAGTGGGTGTTAAGGTTCGGGACAACATGAAAGGCCTCGAAGCGAAGATCCAGCAGGCGAGTTTAGGGTGTTTAGGGATTGGGGTTCACCGGTGGTTTAAGGTGTAGGGATTCGTATTTAGGTACGAGGCTTGAGATTCAGGGTTTGGTTGCGGTTTAGGGTCTACGGTTCAGGACCCCTCTCTCCTCTCCTGCGGGAAGCAAGCCGTGTTGTTTTTGGGAATTCGTTTTTCGGGTTCCCGAGCTTCGAGCAGTTGCTGGGATGGTGTGCTTAGGGAAGGCCGCAGGATGCAGATCACGGAGCTGGGTTCCATTCTTGTAGCATCGGCCATGGGTGAACATGCGCTGCTGAGTTCAATTGTGCCGTTGACCGTTTGAGTTTTCGTTCCGATAGGGTGGGTCTTTGAGACTTCTAGTGAAACGTTCTGGATGTAGGCATACTGGATTAAGAAGTATTGCGTCGGATGCAGAACTGTCTATCGGGAGGGAGAGTTGACGCTGCTAAAGGCTTCCTACTAGAAATGTATTGTAGAGGTGCAAGGTTTCGGGTTTGGGGTTTGTGTGATAGGTTTTTAGGATTTCGAGCAGAAGTTAAAGGGGGCGTTTAACGCCGCCATGGCGGTATCTCAAATGTCGCAAGACATTGTCAATCTTGGAGGCTAGCCCTCAAACTTCCCGCCCATGGCACATCTTCCATTCGATGGCATTTTTCAAACTTTTGAATCGTGAACTACCCAGGCCTCGAACCATACGTCCATTCCTAGCTCCTGAAGTTCCTGAAGTTTGCAATCCTAATTCGTTGTAAGCCCGAGGCCCGGAGGCCCAAACACCAAACTCCTACACGCCAAACTCTCCCCAAATCCCCAAAGCACCAAAGCATTCGACAAACCAGGTTTTCTGACACGAACCTAAACTTGACGAAGACGATCGCAAAACCTTAAAGAGATGATAATACACCCTATAGAGACTCGAGATGATGCCACAACTACCTTATAGATATGATTACGCTGGTATGAATGCAGTGTTCTGGATGAGTCAGCTGCTTGCAAGGCCGTCAGCGGATAGCTGGCGCTTGGCGAGCAAAGTCTCACCGGGGCGGGGTCAGCTTAGCGACGAAGACGGGGCCGAAGTGCTTAACTCGGGATTCTGAGACTCATGGCGGGATGATTCCGTATTGCTGGTTGAAGTTACTACAGGGCGATGCTCTGGAAGATTGGTTTCAGGGTCTCAGGGCGGTGGGGGATCCCTGAATCGGGGAATCCCCTGTCGTTTGATGATGCGGACCCGATCAGATAAAGAAGCCTTTCCTCAGCTTTGCTCTCGGGTTCGTGCCTGGATTTGATTACATGATTACACTAGGCCTGAGAAACGATCAGCCCCAAATCCTCCCGAAACTTAGAGTCCGGAACGCCTAAGCCTGGGGCCTAAGCCTCAAGCGCCCCAAGCCCTGATCTTTAAGTCCAAGCCTTAGAGACCTAACCTCTAAGCCGTGACACCCAGAAAACACCAGAGTTTCAGGGGTTTCAGAGAGGTCTGAGAGGTTTTAGAGGGGCTGAAAACTCGGGTCTTCAAAGGTTAAATGAGGGCCTGCTAAGGGGCCCAAAAGGTTTTCTGCAATTATACGTCGCTATAAGTGCTTCACGTTTTTTTCAATTCATACGTTTGGGGGTCCAGCTCCTGGCCAAAACGTGTGAAGGTTTTCGGCCTTGGCTAGAAATGCTTCAGAGTTTCAGGGTTCAAGCTGAGAAGGTTCAGAGGTCCAAGCTATCAGATTCGGAGATCCAAACTACAAAGTTTCAAGGTTCCTAATAATCCCTAAGCCCTCAAAAATGCTCGGGTTAGGGTTTGGGGTCTTAGGGTAAAGTGTACTTAGCCCTTAGGCTTCCAGGCCTTCGCGACTTTGGGAAGCCTGGGCTTCTGGGAGACTCCAGCCCTGAAAGAACCCTAACCCCCCCCCCCAAAACCTAAGTCCTGAACCCTGAACCCCCCCCCAAAAAAAAAATAAAAATAAAAATACCTAAACCGTGAACCCTAAACCCTACCTAAACCCTACCTAAACCCTAAACTCAAGACCCTAAACGCTAAACACTAGCTCCCCCGAGCCCCAAATGACCCCAAATCGGTTCAAGCGACCAACAAAAATCTGCCTCCGGCTCGAGACGTATCGGCGAAGCTTCGAGTCCCGCGCCTCGAGATTCTATGCCCTGGTCCTTATACCATATGGGTGGTTGTCAAAATCAGGGTCCTTTTTAGGGTACCCTAAATACTAGGTGCCGTATTTGTATTAGGGACCCAAAATGTTACCCTAATTTTGACAACCGCCCATATGGTCATATGATGGTATATTCGGTTATATTACAGTATGTTAGGTGATATTCTGGTGTAGGATATTGTAGTATAGTCTTTTATGCTGTATTGTATTAAGATATATTGCATTATATGATTCCATACTATACTATAACCCTGAACCCTAGAATTTACGCTTCCTGAGTCTTGGAAGCATTATAGAAGCCTAAACAATCACCAACATTGTTCCTTCGGGCGAACTATACTAGCAAAGGGGGCCCGAAACCCTATTCTAATTATTAAGGCCCTTGCATTGCTCGGGCCCCATGGTCCTTTGCATATGCCATGACCTAGCAGACGGCATCCAGTGCAGGACGGCGCGGGTCGTTACTATTGGGGGCTCAAGTACCAATACTATTTTGGTGGTTCCTTGTTATAATTATAGTATAATGGGCCCGCAAACCCTATTCTGATCATTGTTTAAGGCCCCTATAACATTCCCAACACATAGAACAGCTCTCCTCTTCCTCCTCCTGCACATGCGGGGAGTTGTCAGGTCTGCAAAAGGAACTGGCTGTAGTCATAGCACTGGTTGCGGCAGTTGTGATGGTGGGATGCTCACCAGGATCAGTATACAAGCTATCCAGCGAGCATGGTCATTATCCGTAGTGTTGATGGCATGTTTTTGCTGCTGCTGATGATGGTGATCATGGACCCTGATAAAGATGTATCTTCCATTGCAAGGTGGTCCGTTCTGGTGGTATCTGATCTGGTTGAATTATTGGACACTCGGTGTTACCACTGCAAGCACTGTGGCCACTAGAATACTCATGACCGTTGTGATAGCTACAATTATTTCTACTTGTGTTAAATCAGCCGTTAATCATACAAGCAACTATTACCATGCTTGTTTTGGTCGTATTGCTGAGAGAAAGTATTGTGCACAGCTTTGGGTTTCGGCCTGATGTGCTAAATACCAGAGCAAGTACATGTCCCTTAAACTTAAACCGTAAACCATGACTCCTAGTAAGGTTTAGGGTTTCTGGCTGAGGTGTTTTGTTTGAGTCTGTTTTGAGATTCAGACTGAAGTACTGCAGTGTCAGCTCCCATCACTTCTGCCAACACCCCAAACCCACATCTACAAAGCCCGCTTGAAACTATCGAGGTTCGACCAAGTTTTCAATGGCGCAGACGAAGGGCCCAAGCCTTCCCTTTTACCAAGCCATCAATCAAATCACCGCACCGACATTGGTCGGGAATGATGGGTGTGCGATGGCTAATTTTGGCGTTGGCTGCTCAGGCATGTAAAGCCTCAGAAAATGCGTGCACGTCGGGAGTACAGCTTCCGCAAGATGGATCTGACTGCAGTGCCTTTCTGCAGTCTGCCATGCACCGCTCAGACCCAGAAACCACAGCCCCAAAGGAGCAAGTGGCGGAGAAGATCGGAAGTGGAAGCCAAGAGAAAGCCAGCTTTTCAGGCAAGTGGCCCCGACCACTGTTCAAGCGATGGAGGCAAGGCCGGCACTATTACAATCCTGACAAGCCGTCCGGGGAAGATGTCGGATTGGCGTTTCTGGAAATTATCATCGAAGTTTCCGACGGACTGGAAGCACAAGATGTCCTGGAAGAGCCAACGGAGAACGAGACCTTCGTCGCCGCTGTCGCAGCGTTGTTTGGTCCGAACTTGACGGATTGCTCGGTGGATTTTAATGGCTTTAACATGTCTGCTTTCGATGACACGGAGATCAGCGGTGGTGCAGCGTTGAAGCTTGCTCAGATCAAGCAGTCAAACACCGTCGACTCTGCGACCTTCAACGGTGATTTGCTTTTCGCCGAAATCGAGTGCAAGCACCCGCTTTCCACAGGCGAGGCATGGTTGGAGGGGATTGAAAGCAATCTGTCTCCTTTGGCAGCAAACTTCCGAGCCCTCGTGGCAGGCTTGGGCGTGACGGGGGTCGGTGATGCCGGGATCGTCGACGTTGAGTTTGAACTCGACGAAGAAGATGAAGAAGATGAAGAAGAGGGTGAAGAAGACGGCGACGAAGAGACGCAGCCGTAGCTTTCCAAATGTTCGCGCAAGCTTGTGAAAGCACAAGCGCTTTTAAGTATGAGGTTAGATTGACAGCTCATCACCCATCAGTGCAGGATCCGACACTGTTTCGCCAAAGACTGCTGCGATTGCAAGTGTAGTTTATGGGTTCCAGGATCAGGGCTTAGAGATCGGATGTTGCTTTTGGGCTTTACGCTTCAGGGTTTTTGGCTTTGGGATCTTGGTTGCCGAGCCATGCTAGACCAACATGGCTGGTAAAGGGAAAGACTGATCAGCACTAAACGCTAACACCAACCCCAAACCTACACTTCAACCCAAAGCAATGGCCTGCACTTCTTTTCGCCATAAACCTCCACCCCAGAACCTTCCCCCTCCACCTAGGCGAAGCTTGCCGCCATGATAATACCATCTAGAAGCCACCGGAAGGGCGGGGAAACACGAAAACATAGAAAAGGGACTAGGGTTTTTGGGCTTTGGAGTTTTTGGGTTCAGGGTTGCAGGGTTTTGTGGGTTATTGGGCTTCGGATTGAGGGAGCTTACGGTCCGCTGTGTTGGGCTACGCTTCGAGCGAGGACGCCCCGGAAACTGATCCTTGTTTCTTGAATCCTAAATCGTCAGCCCCAACTTTGGGGGTGGCTTGGGGTCTGCGATCCTTTCCGGATGCCTCGGTTGTGGGAGGGGGCTGTAGAGGAGGGTGTGGGGTTGGGCGGGGAGATAGGCTTTGTACAGTAGTGGTACAATCGTAGTAGTACAGTAGTACAGTAGCAATACAGTCGTACAGTAGTAGTACAGTAGTAGCACAGTAATACAGTAGTAGTACAGTAGCACAGTAATACAGTAGTAGTACAGTATGATGGTTTAGGAGTACATAGTGCTGCTTGGGCAAGGTTTGTGGGTTGGGGGTTTAGGTTCCTGATCTTCTTCTCGACTAAAATTGACCACTAGCAGACGGGGCAATTTAACAACACATCCGCTGAACCAAATACATGCATTATAGATGTTCGCCGAATTGGGTACCCGGTATAATGAATAATTAATCCGAAAAAACTACGCATTCAAGAAGCTCGTGATGACACTAGCGACAGAGACGCATCAATATACACGCGAAGGCCCTACTGTAATCATCAAAGGCCCCAAACCCATGTAGTGATCCTTTTTGGATTTAGAACCCTTAAAAGGGCGGTTTTCAGAGAAGCCTAACACCTTGTTCCCATACACCCAAATCCCATACGACCAGATTAAACCATTTTTCAGAGTCCTTTAAAGGATCCTTTAAAGGAATGTGTGAAGTGGACCCTATTCTGATTCTCAAGGACCCTGTTTCGCCGGACTCGCCAAAGGTGGAGGTGCAACGGGTGTAGACAAGGCCAGGATCGACCTTGCGAGATTCCCAAGGCAGCTTCCCATCGTGCAGGTTCGCTTTCTGCAGTGAAGCCCGCTCCTTGCAAGGAAATGGCCTGCCACGAGATTGGGGGCTGAGAGCTAAGATTTTTTTGAGTAGACGAACTGATGAAAAAGTGTGTGTGTGTGTGTGTGTTGTGTGTGTGTGTGTGTGTCTGCGTGCGTGCGTGCGTGCGTGCGTGCGTGCGTGCGTGCGTGCGTGCGTGCGTGCGTGCGTGCGTGCGCGCGTGCGTGCGTGCGTGCGTGCGTGCGTGCGTGCGTGCGTGCGTGCGTGCGTGCGTGCGTGCGTGCGTGCGTGCGTGCGTGCGTGCGTGCGTGCGCGCGCGTGGGTGTGTGTGTGTGTGTGTGTGTGTGTGTGTGTCCACCCCTGTTTCGAAGGGTAGGTAAATCTGAGTCGAATGAGCAGGGGGCCGGTGCTCTCCCTGGGGGTCACCGGTCAACGAAGACACCCCCAGGGAGGGGTGCAAACGTACCTGCAAATCAGTAACCCTAGAGCGTTCGTCCTATGGCAGTACTTCAGATCACAGGTTCTGACTTCTCCTGACAGCTTTCGACAATATGCACTGACTGATCAGACCTGCGACACGTTGTGTCAAGTGTGCTTCACAACGGCATTCCCTATGGGCGCCGTGTCTCCCAGAGGTAGCTCTGGCGCTGACTTTCCCGACTGATTGAATAAGCATTGGATGACTTCCTTTGACTTCATATCCATGCTTGCATGCTGAGTCTTCCAGTGAGTCTTTCCCAAATGCGTTTTCCGAAACTGAATGCTGATTCTTCCATCGACTTTGTTATGATCTGTTTGAATCCCCCGAGCTGAGTATACCGGTGACTTGCAGGTCTTCGGCTGCAAGTTGAGTACATGAGCTGTACTTTTGGTAGTTGCTGATCAATCTGCCATGGATACTTCAGACAAAGGGCGCAGTACTGGGACATCTCTTCCCCTTTTTCCTCCCCCGCCTCTCCCTCCACCCTCCTTCTCTCCCCTCCCTCCTTTGCCACCCCCTCCTCTCCCCACTGCTGCCCGGACCCCCTCTCGTGGCACCACAGCAAGTGATGTGCAAAGGTCGTGCAAGATTGGTGCAAGTGCTGCAGTTTGAGACTTCGTTGAGCTTTGGCACCAGGTGTTACCTTGGTCAGTGACTCTGTGATCGGCAAGAGCAGTGCAAGTGAGTACGTGTCGTCGTGCAAGTATTGTGCAAGTGTAAGTTTGGCAAATGTTTTTCTTCTGTGGTTAGTGCGTGCATGCCTACATGCGTTCGGAGTGCGCATCTCGCTGCTTTACTGCATCGCAAGTGTCGTGCAAGTGCAAGCTTGAAAACGTTTTTCTTCCTTGGTGAGTGAGTGCATGCCTACATGCTTTCGGAGTGCGCATCTCTCTGCCTTACTGCATCGCTTGCTTGCAGCGTTTTGTTTGTACAGAAGCGAAGCTGGTGGAGCGAGCTGTGGTTTCTGGTGGCCCGGTGGAGCATTGGAGCTGCTGGTGGTGGAGCTTTGGTTTCTGGTGGTCTGGTGGCGATCTGGACAAGTGAGTGCGCATTGTCATGCAAGTGCTGTGTAAGTGATTGCATCGTCATGCATGTGCTATGTACGTGAGTGCTTCCTGTCAGTAAGTTCGAAAGAGCATGTGTATGTTAACCGGTGTTTCGAACGGATGCAATGAGCCCGGGAGGGCTTGTGTGTGTCCACCCCTGTTTCGAAGGGTAGGTAAATCTGAGTCGAATGAGCAGCGGGCCGGTGCTCTCCCTGGGGGTCACCGGCCAACGAAGACACCCCCAGGGAGGGGTGCAAACGTACCTGCAAATCAGTAACCCTAGAGCGTTCGTCCTATGGCAGTACTTCAGATCACAGGTTCTGACTTCTCCTGACAGCTTTCGACAATATGCACTGACTGATCAGACCTGCGACACGTTGTGTCAAGTGTGTGTGTGTGTGTGTGTGCGTGTGTGTGTGAGAGAGGCCAGCAGTTAGAGTTGGGGGTTTTTGGTTGCAGGGTGTAGGGGCAGGTGGGCCAGGATTTTCGAATCGAAGAGTGATTCCACTACCCCGCGAAGTCCGAAACCAAGCTCACTTCGACATCTTGTAAACCCCACCAGAGGTTTGGGAGAGGGTGACGTTGATCCTTTTTTCTGCGCAGATTTCTTCCGGGGCGAATTGAAATCTATGGTGGTGCCAGAGAGTCAGGTTTAGGATGTGGGTTTGGGGACCAGGGCGTGAGAACTCAATACAATTTACTGTTTCGTTTCCATTTTATATGTACGGTACTTGCGAGTACTGTTACTGTATCATATTTTTGCACTCACCATTACCAGTATTTTCGCATGCGCCACTCCTACTCCAATCCAACTCCTACTGGCAGTGATCTCCTCCTCCTCCTCCTCCTCGTGCTACAAGCATCGCGGCTTGCTGGTGCTTTTCGTGATTTCAAGAGTCTAAGAGGCTTCAGGGGTAAGGGTGCAAGGTCGCATTAAGCGACTGTGTTTGGGAGCTTTGCGTGTGGCGGGTGCAGGAAGGCTTGAAAGCTGAAAGGGATCCTTCGTGCCATCTCTGCGAGCGGATTGGGGCTTAATCATCGCCTCTGGCCAGGCGTTTCTCAGCGGGACGAGTGACTAAGCTCAAAAACCAAAATTTTAAAACCTAAACCCTTAAACCGAATGCAAGTGTCTTTCCGCCGACTTCGCGCCGTTTCACCATGAAAGGTCGTAGTTTGGTAGCAAATCGACGTTGCTGAGCTGCCACATTGCTATCAATGGGTCTTCTGGCAGTCCACCGAATTCTTGAAGACCAAACCCCTTGCAAAAACCACGCAGAGCCATGGCCGCTTGTTCCAGTTCTGGTTTGACCTCGTCTACGTCCGACCGTGAAATATCTGGCTTACATGTTCGTCCGTCTCACAGCAATCTTGATCTCCACGACTGGATGGCGCGAATCCAGGAGTCTCTTCAGAGCGTTGAAGATTCAATGCTGAAGCAATCCTTCACCACGGAAAGCCTTGCGATTGCTGTACATGAGCTCTTGCAGTTTGGATTTCGAGAAGGTTCTCGCCCAGGGGCACAAGACGGCGGCAAGATCGTTCAGCCTCTTCGTATCGAGGTGCCTCAGGATGAGCCGATGCCGCTGCCTTGCATTCCATGTGACCTTTCATGCGAACTCGGCCCAGTACCGGAAAGGACCGAAGACAGCCAGGATCAGGGGGATGGCTTGACGCCCACCCTCGCAAAGGTGGCGTCTCGCAGGCGGAGCCGGGTTAGCAGCGGAGGAGAGGATCGGGCCGAGGTCGAGAATTTCTTGGCTTCTCGTGATCCGCAGTCCACGCAATATGGCATGATGCACGAGCTGGAGGAACACAATGCCTTCCGGCTCATGCACGCGCGCCGGAATGGTCGGGCAAACAGCCACAAGAAGCCGAAGAAGTCGGGCCGGATCTGAATCCCGATGTGAGTCAAGAACGGGATGCTGATCTGAGTCAGACGGAGGTGCCGGAAACTCCCAAGAAGCGGGCTCCCACCATTACCAGCAACTTGGATCTACTTGAGGAACTCCGCTTCAAGTGACCTTAATGCTCCTTAATGGGGGTTTAGGGGTATAGGGCTTGGGGCTTAGGGTTGTTCGGCATATGCAGTACAGAGTAGGGCTTCCTATTGATGGCTACCCAAAACATCACCTGAACAAGCCCTTATAATATAGGGGCCTTAATAATTACCTACACTACTGGGGGTTCCCTATTATAGCCATATAGTATAATGGGCCCCAAAACCCTATTCTAGTTAGCAAGGTTGTTAAGGCCCCTATATTATCCCTAAACGCTAAACCCAAGGCAGAGTTGGCGGAGAGGACAAGGAGGTTATGCTGAGCAGAGTTCGCCGGGTATCCTTAGAGGATCTTCGTAACAACTACGATGCAGTGGCTTACCTCAAGCAGATTGAAGCATGTGCACTGTTCTCTCGTGTTCCCACTAAGGCATTAGGAGGAGAGTCTTCAATCTCATGCCTCCCTGATCCCTGAACCCTTAAATTCCGAACCTCATAGAGCCCTTAATGGTTATAGAGGTGGTGGTCCACAACTTCAACGGCAAAGCGCGGGACCCGACGATAACCTTGGAGTTAGGGAAAGCGTCAGCACTGAATCTGGGTCGCCTTTTTGGGGCTTGAGCTCAGGGCTGGTAGGGTTAGGGTCTGGCTGAAAAAACTGGAGAATATCTAGTGATGTAGTGTTCTTCAGCACGTCCACAAGAAGACGGCTTTGCCACGGAGACCAAGGAGCGCCGTAGCTCGGCTGCTGCTCTGTGCAACGGGCATTTTGCAATTTCGGACAGGGCAGCTCTGGCGACTCCTTTCCTGGTGCCTCCACGTGTCGGTTCCTGCCTGCCTCTCAGCATTCCTGATCTACTACAAAGTGGGGCACCCCAATGCCGACATCTCCTTCTCCACCGCACTCCTCTGTTCCTCGGCTAGTCACCGATGGCTTCTGTTCTGAGCTACAGACTTCAGATGTCAAGGTTACTGGCTACTAGTGTTTGCAGAAACACGCAAGTAGCAGTTTCAACTTACTGTATCATGTGTAGGGTTATTGACAGCATCACCAGCAACCTCGACGACGACGATATACGGCAGCAGAATGGCATGGATAGGACTTGTAGGAAGAAACCAACTATATACCCACGGCTGCACGAGCCGTATTGATTCTCAGGGATTCGGTTACTCTCGGATCAAATCTAACGTACATCAAAGTGCATACCCGAACACTGAAGTATATTAAGTCATATTCGGGGCTGCTTAGTTACTGAGTTCTGAATGCCTCCTGCGCTTGCCACATAAACTCAGTTCCCACGCGCTTCTGAAATTGGGGGTCTGTGCGCTCAGGCCAGTGCCCAAAAGGTGAGACCCAACGCCCTACGCCCTCAAGCTGTGACCCTAATTAAATCTGCATCACCTGCTTTTTGCTAAACCCCTGAACCCAAGAACTCTCAAGTCGGAAACTTTATCGCCTGGCTTTGCTGGCCCCTAAACTCTCAACCCTAAAACCTGAAACCCTGAGGCTTTATCGCCTGCCTTTTTCTGGCCACTATTTGTCTGAAAAGGGTGTAGATTGGACGCCTACTAGGCCCGGAAGAGAGTTACTTGGACGACTACGCAGCCGAGGCGCAGCTGTGGGTTTTATAGATCTCTTTTCTGTGGAGTGCTAGAACTAGTACTACTGCTACGACTACTACTCCGACTACTACTACTGCTACTACTACTACTACTACCGCGACGACGACGACTACTACTACCACTACTACTACGACTACTACCACCACCACCACTACTACTACTACTACTACTCCTACTACAACTCCTACTACTACTACTACTACTACTACTACTACTACTACTACTACTACTACTACTGATACTACTACTACTACTACTACTACTACTACTACTACTACTACTACTACTACTACTACTACTACTACTACTACTACTACTACTCCTACTACGACAATTACTGCTACGGCCGCTACTACTACTCCGACGACGACGACTACTAGGACTTCTACTTGTACTGCTACTGCTACTCCTACTGCTACTCCTACTGATACTGCTACTGCTACTGCTACTGCTACTGCTACTGCTACTGCTACGACGACACCCTACGCCTTAATTCCTAAACCCAAAGCCCTAAACTAAACCCGAAACACCGGAGGCCGGCTTCCTGCAAGACTGGTGGAAGGTGTCCAGGAGGCGGTCATTCGAGGTAGGAGCGTTCTGGTCCCTGGCTGGTCAGTAATTAGAAACCGGTTTTGTGGCCCTTTCTACTGTACTTATTCTAAGGCACCCCCAAAATAGTGTTGGTAATTATTTAGTTGTGGTATTCTTTGTTGTATTCTTTAGGCTCCTCCTTAGGAGAATTATAGTGCCAGCCACCGAAAACCGCAGTGCGGTTATCTGTTTTCGGGTGGCTTCGAAAGGATTGAATTTTTGACCAGCTTCAGGCTTTGGGGTTGGGGGGATTTTGGGTTTGAGGGTTTCCGGCTTCAAGCTTTTTGGGTCTAGGATTGTAGGGTTTCGGGTTGAGGGACTGGGTTTCGGGACGCTAGATCCTCGCTGCAGAGCCCGCTTTCCATACTCTCCGATGCACCAAGGCTCACGATGCTGGCGCTCAAGGCCCTTGCAAACTTTGTCGGCACGGGCAGTGTGCTGTCGACGATGCTGGATGCGCCCGACCTTGGGGTTGGTGCTGCTTTCTGGATCATGTCCTTCTACTATGCGCTCATGTGCTACACCCACTTGCATATTTGTTTCCAGAGCTGCAAGAGAGAAGATGTTCTACTTACAGGTTGCCTTCTCCTAAGCCTTTTACGTAGGGTTTCAGACGGAAGACGCTTGCAGCCTAAATGCAGCGCACCCATATCCAAAGCCACAAGTCCTCTTAGGTCCTGATCCGAGCAGACTGAACCGTGAATCTAGCATCAACATCCCAGTACCCAAAACCCTGAACCCAGAACCTCAGCACCATTCTCAACTGTGCTTCAGAACCAGCATCCTATCCCTTCAGCTTTAGCTGAGCCCATTTAAACCCCATTTTTCAAACCCCAAACCTGGGCCTTGAACCATACAACACCTGAGCCTGAAGCCTGCAGCCTTAATCTTTCAACCTTCCTCCCTACATCAAACTCCCCAAGCTTAAGCGGTAGAGCCGAGTCCCTCCACCCTTCAATGGTAAAATCCAGCATCTTTTCTTGCCCAAAACCCTAAAGCCCAAACCCTAAAGCCTATAAAGCCTAAGGCCCAAAGCCAAACCCGAAACCCTAAGTCCAGCAGCCTTTCCTCCCGCCCGAGGTTGCGGGCTCGAGTTGGCCGTGGACGGCTTCGGGCTTCGTTTCTTCAAGGACTTGTGGGGGGCTTCTAGCCTAGAGTTCACGCAGCCCTAAGCCACAAATTTTACAACTGTTCTAAGCCACAAATTTTACAAGGATTAAAATTTTGTCAGGAGATGGATGTTGAACAGGCGCTGGAAGAGTGGAGCCAAGTGCAGGCCATACTACGTCAGGCCGGCCGGTATATGGCTTTGGGGTTCCGGGGAGGCCGGGGGAGGTTGGGTTGAGAGTTTGGGGTAGGGGAAGGGTTCATGGTCTAACAAAAGTGTTGAATGTTGTAGAGTCCTGATTAAGAAGCCTCCCCTCTTGAGAAGAAGCATGACCGGGATCTTAGTACGAAGGCCTTTCGACAGAGGGAGTGGATTCAGGGATCTGCATCATTTGGGACCAGATTCAGGGATCCTTCAAGTGGGAGCGTTGTTTCCCAGCTCCCCAAATATACTAATATGGGAGTTTCCGAAATAGGGGACCCTAATATAGTACCCTAAATACTAGGTGTTTTATTGCTCTTTGTACGTATGTCTACCGACCTTTACTGTTGCTTGGCTCAAGACAAAAAGTGTGTGTGTGCGATTCGTGCTATCGTGCACTATCTAAAGGTTATCAGCCGTAGCCTAGTCGAGCCATATCCTTTTCCAGGTCGCTCCTGAAATCCTGCAGGTAACACCGGAATGGAGGACACAGCCGAGCCAGTGCCAACGGGTATCTCAGATATGACATTGGCAACTGATGAAGCAAGTGATCAAGGATTTCCTCCATTAATGCCAACAGGTGATAGTCATTTGCCGAATGACGGACTGGCGATCATGTCACATGATGCAGCGCACTCTCCGAATGATTCGTTGCTTAGAGAACGTGTCCCTACTACGCTAGTGTCTATTGCACCTGTTACTCCGGTAGGAATACCTGGACCATTGGCTCATGCTACGGGCTTGCCCAGCCCATCAACACCAATCTATTCACCTCACTATCATCAAGCAAGCCTTACCCAGAACCTTCAGGTTGTCGATGCCAGGCAGTTGACGATTAATCAGGATGCATCTCCGATGGTCGCCTTTGCCGCCGAGGCACGACACAATCAGATTATCGGCGAATTGGGAGCAGAACATCAGGAGCAGCTCCGTGCAATGTACAATAGTGGGCTTGCAGAGGTGAACAAGTTGAGGAACGAATTAGGCAATGCTAACATTGCGTTGTCGATTCAGAGGTCTGAAATGGGTCAAGGTGAAGTTCGTTTCCAACAAACCGAAAGCGCGAGGGAACTCGCTGTCATTGAAGCCAACCGGCAAGCGGAAGCTGCCCGTAGAGCTTTAGAGGAAGCTAACAGCAATGCCAGGCGCCTTCGCGAAGTGGAAACTTCTGCCCGTCAGAATGATGCAATGCGATCCCATGAGGTCGCTGACATGTCATCTCGGATGGATGAACTGATGAGGCAGCTTCAAGCCCAGCGTCAGCAGACAGAAGTATTGATTCAGCAGAATAGTGCATTGAGCTCCAGGGTTCGAGATTTCGAAGCTAGAGATGCTGCTTTGAGGATTCAAGAGGGAATTCCACAAGGGCCTCCACCCGGCATTCCCGTGCATCCCATTTCCACCCCGAAGCATGGAGGTGACACTCCTACAGAACAGGCGACGGACGCCGGGAGGCGAACCCCTCCAGATGGCTTCAGCCCAGGTGGCGGTGGCGGTGGCGGCGGGCCTGATGGCAACGGCCCCAGTGGAGGCGATGATGATCATGATCGTCGCAGTCGGAAGTCCAAGAAGGATAAGAAGCATAAGAAGAAGAAGTCGCGCAGGCGACGTAGGCGAGATCCTTCGTCTTCCCCTTCTAGCTCTAGCAGTAGCTCCGGTGATTCGAGTTCTTCATCATCCCGCATTGATAGGAAGACCATGAAGAAGCTCCTTAAGCGGATGAGTGAAGCTGTTGGTGACCGTGGTGAAAAACCCGAGAAAGACGACAAGCCCAAAGTGAAAGAAGCTGAGAAGATTACCTTCCCCAAGTTCCCACAACCTGAGAGCTACAGGAATTGGAGGCTAAGGGTTCGTGAAGCGGTCGTTGCCGCATCCGATCGTCCTGATGATGCCTTTTCGTGGCTTTCTAAGGTTTGGGAGAAAGATGTCAAGGAAGAAGATCTTCACGACCCGGAAGGGTTCGTCACTTTGGATGCTAAGGTACTGTCGGCGGTCACTAACATCCTGGAAGGTGCCTTTGCGAGACAGGTTGATACCTTCAAGGAGCGAGAGGCAAATGCCGGGAGACTTGTTCGGGGACGACAAGTGCTTTTCAAGTTGGATAATTTCTTTTCTACCAACGCACAGCATGGTTCAGTTTACGAGTTTGAGGATCTCTTGTCAGTCAAGATGGTCAACGAGAAGCTTGAGACTTTCATGCACAACTGGGAAACTGTATTGTCAGGGATCCAGACTACCCCCGATGAGAACTTCCTTGAGCCCTTGTTCCATAGGCAGATTAAGCGCTTCAAAGACCTCGCACATGATATCAACATCTATGAAAGGGCAACACCAGGGCAGCCAGAGAAGACCTACAAGTTTTTGTATGACGCGGCTACGAACTATTTGAGTCGCAAGCGTCTTGAACGCAACCGGGAACGGATTGCCAAGCAATATGGTGCTGATGGGAAACCATCTGCCCCCGCTCCCAAGAAGAAATTCGTCCCTAAGGGATTTTGTTTCGAGTTCGTACAGAACGGTAAGTGTAGCAAAGGAGACAAATGCAAGTACAAGCATGAGATCCCTGAGAAGAGAGGCCGGTCGCATTCAAGAGGTGGAGGTCGCGCTCAGTCACCGTCTGGCAACGACGGAAAACCCAGAGAATGTAAGTTCTGGAAGAGTGGACGATGCAACAAAGGAAGTGCATGCAAGTTCCTCCACACAGGCAAGCCAAGCGCTGCTGCGGCGTCACAAGGCGGCTCTCAGGGGGGAAGACCAGGAAGCGCAGGCAGCAAAGGGAAAGAAAAGAAGGAGAAGAAGGGCCATCGCAAATCGCGGTCCAACTCGAAGGGCTCTCAGGGGTCGAAGAACTCTAAGGGCAGCAAGGGTTCGGACAAGCGAAAGGGTCCAAAATCACCAAAAGTTCCCGCTGCGGTCTGCATCCTAGGGGCATTGATCGCCGCGGCATCGGGTACCCAAGCCGACGCTGCTTATGCATTCCGGAAGGATATGCCCGATAGTCGTGGTGACATGTCAGCTACCTTTTCATGTGCGTTGCCAGCTATTCGTTTCGACGATAATCCGATGCTCATCAACATCCCACCTGACGGAAAGATGTTGCCGACAGAACCCGAGACACGGAGGTACTTGAAGTCCTTCGGTGGGGAACCTCCTAGACCTAGTCAACAGGACGTCAAAGATGCACTGACGACTGCCAGGATGCTTAAAGCAACTCTGGATGCATATGGTTCCGGGATAAGGGCTAAGTGTGGTTATGCGTGTGACACGGAATTCGGTTGCGACAAGTGCATTCCGAAACACATTGAAGCTACCTGTGTTGCAGCTACCAAAGCGGAAGCCCAGCAGCTCGACATTGAGTGGATCGCGGACACCGGCAGCGCCCAGGACCTGGTTTCACAGGGGGATCTCGGATCTTTGAGAAGCCATCGTTCCCAAAATCCTATCGGTATTGTGACGGCTAATGGGCCTAGCACTGCTGAGATTCAGTCCAACATCGCAGTTCCTTCACTTGGAATCGACAGCCATCCATACGTGTTGCCTAGCACACCCTCTGTTCTATCCGTTGGTTACAGGTGCATGGAAGAGGGATTCGATTTTGTTTGGAGATCGGGTACAAGACCTTACTTTCAGTCACCCAGCGGTGAGCGGATATATATGGATGTGAAGGATTACGTCCCCTACCTCAAATCGTGGAAGGAAGGTGTGGCGGTACCTGCGAGGCGGAAGCCCCAGCCCGATGAGGACCATAAGAATGATTTGGTTCTCTCGCTCGAAGAGGCTGAGGGGTATGCAAGGGAACTTCGGATCAACGGCGACTTTCGTCTGGGATCGTGTTACAAACTTTTGAAGTTGACACCATTCAAGTCTACAGGGAATTCGAGGAGAATGAAAGCTACTGAAAATGACGACTCGGTTGAAGATGAAGTTGGCAGGGACTACATAATCATCGGCGCTTGGATTTTTAGCGGTATGACTGGAATCACAACTTCTGTAGACCGTCATGCTCAGCTGACCAAGTACCTGATCGCCTTCATGAAGTCAAGAGGGTTGAAAGATACCTTTACGTCTATCTGTATCAACCATGGTGGCAATCGCCGGGTGCATCGAGACTTGTTGAATCATGAAGACTCGCTCAATCACACTCTAGGCGTTGGAAGCTATCAAGGTGGTTCCGTATGGGTTGAGCAGAAGGACGACTTTCCCATATTTCGCAGAGAAGGTGTAGCTGGTGGGAAATCAAAGTGCGTCAAGGTTACGGGGGGGCTCGAAGTCAATGGAAGAGTCTATGACACTCATGATCGAATGTTATCCTTCCACCCCAAGCTTTGGCATCAGGCACAGCCTTGGACAGGTGATCGATGGACCATCACTGCATACACGATTCGGGATGTAGACGGTTTGAGCTGGGAAAAGTCAAAGTCGCTAATGTCGCTTGGGTTTCAGTTGAATTCATCAAGACGGTTACCATTTGTTCCATCATTGATTACCGGCGACAGCGACGAAGAGCTCACACTTTACGACTTTGTGAAGAAGAAGAAGAAGGACGAAGCTGAGAAAGATAAGGTTCCTGAACCAGCTCCTCCTCTGATGAAGAGTAAGGCCAAGTCTAAGCCCAGCAAGCCTGATGCCGGGCGGAAGCCTGAGCCCGAGCCTGAAAAGGGTGCAGACATGTCTGATCTTTTTGATATTGAGGAGCATTTCGATGAAGCCGGGGAGTTGAAAAGTGCCGAGGATCAGCCACCTCCTCCTCCTGTTCCTGCTGAGGCAGATAAGCGTTCGAAGGGAGAGAAGGTTTTACGTGAGGAAGCTAAGAGCAAACATCATCTGATGACACACGTCCCAAAGAACCCCTTTTGCCCTACATGCCAAAGAGCGAAGATGTTCAAGCCGCCTTCGTATCAAACGAATGGTTCCAGGTTCATTGAGTCTGAGAAATTCGGCGACCATCTCACTGGGGATCATCTCATTGTCTATCGCGACAACGAAGAAGAGATTAAGGATTCGCGATTAGCTTTGGTTATGAAGGACGTGGCAACGGGTTTCCTCGCGGCCTATCCCTCCGGACGGAAGTCTCAGGACGAGTGCTACAAGGCGCTCAACCACTTTGTTGCTAACAATGAAGATGTTGGCATTTTCTACAGTGACAATGCTCCTGAAATTAATGGGGCAGTAGAAGAAATGGGCTGGAAGCATGAACATTCTAAGGCCTATATCCATCAGTCCAATGCCATGGCTGAGCGTGCGATCAGGACTGTTACGGAAGGCACCAGAGCGAATCTGGAGCAAGCCGGTCTGGCTCATGCTTATTGGCCCCATGCCTTACAACATGCTTGTGTTGCCCATAACATAAGCCATCCCAATGGTACGAAGTACTCTTCATGGACTTTACGGTTCGGCAAGGACTTTCATGGGCCATTGATTCCATTTGGTTGCCGAGTAGACTACTGGGTCGGTACTCGAGAACAGCGGAGGCTGCAAGGGTACGAAAGATTTGAGAGTTCATCAGAACATGGGATCTTCATGGGTTATCACTTCCAACCTGGAATGCGTTGGCGTGAAGAGATGTTGGTAGTTCCGATATCCAAGCTGAATGGAAGTGACTTCTACGAGTACCACAAGCCTACGAAGGTGCATCAATTGAAAGTGCCTGACGGTGAGTTCACTTTCCCCATGGTCGAACGTTATAACCGTGTCCGAGACGGGCTAGCGCATGATGCCATCGAAAAGCCTGTCGTTGAATCTCTGAGAAATCAGGATGCGGAACCAGTCGTAGATCCTCCTGGGGACGGTGAGGCTGAAGTAGAAGTACCTAAAGTTATTGATCCCAAATCAGGTGACCTCGTTGAGTTGCCCGAAGGCGGACGATTCTATGACTCCAGTGGAACTCTTGGTAGGAGATATGGAGGGTCCAGAGGTTCAAAGAAGCCGGATAGCATTCCTTCTCATATATGGGTCAATTTGTCCAAGAGGCAGAAAGATAAGGCGATAGCGGAAGAAGCATCGAAAATCGCTAGGGAATATCATGAAGGTGCCGATCGGGCAGGTGGCGGATCATCGAGTTCAAGGCCTGCTGCCACGCTTGGTGCGTCCCGAGATCGATGGGAGATCAAGGGAAACAAGTTAGTGCGGTATCATTGTGTTCCTAGACGAGAACTTTTCTCTCCTGATATCACCGATTGTCCCATTCCCACTTCTAGGATAAAGCCGACAAGGATCTTGCAGATCATCCCCGTGGGAACGGAGGACACTGTTGCTGATGAAGATGATTGGACAAACCCGCGAAGAAGGAACAAGAAATTGCCTTTTAGATGGACCGGCAAAACCATCTTTGAGATCCTACCCTTGGGTACTAGCAGTGCTCATATCGTGGGGGAACCCTATCCGACTATGCCAACGATCCCACGTAGTGGGGAACATCGCGAAAAGATTGGTAATGACCATCAATTCACCCAATCTGAGCTGGAAGTTATGATGGCCTTAGTGGCTCGTCCGGTTGGCAAGAAGGAGCTCGCGGAGAACAACGACGCCCAGAAATCACTTGACGTGGAATGGGATAAGTTGATGCAAAAGCGAGCATGGGATATGGATAACCCACGGGAGTGGTCTGAGATCTCGGCGGAAGCCGTCAGACGGGGTCGCAAGGCCCATGTTGGACGTGTTTTCGAAATCTGTGTAGAAAAAGGGAGCGAACTCCCCAAAGGAAATCCCCTGAGGAAGTTCAAAGGCCGTACGGTCTTCCAGGGTAATAATGTCCAGGACGAAAGCAGCAACGCCGCCCTGTTCTCGGAGTTAGGTTCGAGCCCTGCTTCGATGGAGGCGGGCAAGGTGCTGGATACGTACGGATCTCAGCCAGGTTTCGCCTGTGAACAGGCCGACGGTAAGCAAGCTTACACTCAGACGACTTTGAAAGGTGCTGAAACTTGGGTTCGATTACCAAGGGAGCGGTGGCCTAAGTCCTGGGTTGGCAAGTTCAAGGATCCAGTAGTTCGGCTTTTCCTTGCGCTGTACGGACACCCTGATTCGGGGGGCTTCTGGGAGAAGCATTGTGAGCAGAGACTCAAACAAGTGGGTTTTGATCTTCTGTTTCCCTCTTCGTGGCCTTCGGTTTTCTTTCATCCTAAGCTTCGCCTACTCTTAGCCGTCTACGTTGATGATTTCAAGATGGCTGGACCTGTGGAGAATATGCAGGAAGGGTGGAAGCTGATCGGGTCCAAGATCGATATGGATAGCCCGACTCCACTTGGAAGATACCTTGGGTGTGAACATGTAGAGAAGAAGAAAGTTCAACTGGGAACAGCTGACCATCCCTTTGCCCACATCTTTGATAAGAGTATTCCTGACCCCGCGGCCAAACCTTCGGTTCCGGCTACGTCCCAGGATTATACGGAGTACTTTCCTGATGAAGGTGTTATTGTTCGCCATCATATGCAGCCTCGCAAAGCTAAGTATGCTGTTAGCGCTGCGGAAGCAGACGTCTTGAACATCGGCGACCTGCGGTTGACCGAACGTCAGCTTCTTGGAAGTACTTCTGCAGAAGAACTATGGGATGATGGTTTCCGGGGGGGTAAGGCTTCGGGACTTTGGACGGGAACCACTTACTTGTTTGATCGTGGTATTGATAAGCATCATGCCGTGGCTGCTGTTAAGCGCATTCGTGACAAGAACACAGCTAAAAAGGAAGCTAGGAAACAGGCTTTCTATGACATCAGCCAATTATCGAGTGGCACCGGATGCATGAAACAACCCGTCAACATCATCGAGTATGACATGAAGTCTTTTCTTGAACAAGCTGTACAAAAGTACAAAGACCTTGCTGGCCCCAAGTATCACACCCTTAAGTCAGCCTCTACTCCTTTCGCCGACGAGAAGATCGCGAGGCCCATCGACGATGAGGCCGAGGCAAAGAGTGAATTGGCTCCTATCGCTAGCCGAGTTCTGATGAAACTTTTGTTTGCTGCCAGGATGGCTCGTTATGATCTGTTACGGGCTGTTCAGGGATTGGCAAGCAGAGTCACCAAGTGGTCTGCTGAATGCGACCGGGCTTTACACCGATTGATGTGTTATGTGAATTCCACCCTAGACTTGAAGTTGAGGGGATTCATCGGTGACCCGATTGACCAGTGCAAAATATGGTTGTTTGCTGATGCAGATCATGCAGGTGAGCATGATAACAAGAGTACATCAGGATGCTTCGAGGCTTTGGTCGGACCAAACACGTACTTTCCTTTGGCGGCTTACAGCAAGAAGCAAACCTCAATTTCTATTAGTTCTACCGAGTCCGAGGTCGTATGCGCCAATATTGCTTTGAGGACTGTTGGTTTGCCATCCTCCGCTTTATGGAGTGTGCTCCTGAAGGCAGGGGGGGGTTCAGACGCATCAAAGCCGAGCGCACCCCGGAAGGGAGATGCCTGTTTGGTCAAATTCCCAGATCAGGATGTTGCCTCTCAGGTACCGAAGACTGGTAGACATGAACTTATTGATTGTCGAGTAGCTGTTCTTTCAGGCGGTGACAGTATCCCTGAACCCGTTGAGCTTGCATCCCACCCTCTTCGAGATGTATGGTTGCTCCGGGGGGACAAATGGTCCAGAACAGAAGAAGCTGTCGCTTGGGAAGAGCTCGAGAATGCCTCCTATATGGTTCCGAAGGATGCTAAAGCCATCTTGTGCCTGTACCGGAAGTCATCATTGGAGTATCGTCGCTCTGCGGAAGCAGAAGCCGAATTGAATTATGAGGCTCACAAGCTCCGTCATGGACTTGGCGACTTCGAGTACTCCGATGATGCAAAGATCAGATCCGATCAGTCATTGATCATGGCTGCACCACATTGCATGCAACCTGTGATGTTAGAAGATAACCAGGCCACTATTAGGATCATGGAGTCCGGAAGGTCACCGGCATTTAGGCACACAGACAAAACCCAAAGAATCAATCTCGGATGGGTATCGGAACAGTTCAGAAGGAAGCATTATGATCTCGCGTACATTAGTACCTTGTTGCAGTCTGCCGACATTTTGACTAAGCCATTTACCAACATCGACAAATGGAAGAGAGCGGTTTTCCTCATTGGCCATGTCTATGTCAAACCATCAAGGCCTGCTTCGCCAATCGTCGTGCCGGACAACCTCGAGAAGAGGATCGAGCCCGAGAACAACGGGGTTCTCATCGAATGGGGACATGATCCGTCGTTCTCTCTGCTCGGAAGGGCAGACGGTAGTGGTAGCGGTAGCCCATCTGTCGTTCGGGTCACTCATAGCATGGATCTTAACAGTACTCAGACGAGAAGGGACTTGCTCAAGGTCGTCAAAGGCTATGCAAAGTCGAATGTTCCCATTACCGTCTGGGTTGACCTGCGCTTTGCGGGGGGTCCTGATGATCGCAAACACTTTGGCAAGCTATGGTCTTCTTTCGTCAACTTAAGCACCGGATTGGATTTGAATAACTGCCATTACGTCCTGATTGCTCCCTGGGAACATTTCTCATGGAAGATGGATCGAGTTGTCAGGTGGTGTTCCAATCATGAGTGTACGAGTTTTGAACTTCTTGATGGCGAAAGATCAGGCAATTTAGGTCATTGGAGATTGCATACTTCCTACAAGAATTTGCCAATTGAAGTGATGAACTATTTTCATGGCTGTAAGCTCAAGAACATTTCAGAGCCACAATTTCCTGTTCGACAAGCTGCTGTTGCGGTACAAGTTACTCTGAGCGAAGATCCAATAGGAAGCGCAGCAGTGATGGCATTCTCTTTGCCCACCGTTTCTCTGGAGGAGCGTCGCCGACGCATCGAGGCTTTCCGCAGGGCTCTTAAGGACCCTGATTGCCTCGCGGAAGCGATGGCCTTCGAGGAACCGGCATATTTCAAGGATGCCTATGGCGTTGTGAAGGAGGCGTACCAGTACAAGCTGGTGGAGCCTGCGGAGTCTGATCCGCCAGAGGCCATTTTCCTCGGCCGTATCCGAAACGGCGAGTGGATTGGTCTGCGGAAGCAGTACCCCTACGCAGGTTTTCCCCTCCTGTACGAGATGTGGCACCGCCATTTCAACAGCCCGGCTCATCACGGAATGCCGATTGAGGGCTTTGAGCTCCATGGCGATTCCCTCCTGACGGAGTGGACAGAACTTGTCAAAGCTTATCTCCGCGACCTGGCTTATGTGGGGCATGCCACAAACGCCGAACGGGCTCTCAAGGCCACTGAGCCGTTTGATGTCTGTCACAGAGCGTATGTGCTATCCCAGGAAACCCTGGGCTACCACGAGTTAATGCCAGCTGCCACGGCGTTGTTAGACTCGGTGTATACTCCAGCCCTCCGAAGAATCGAGCATCAAGAGCAACCAAGCTCGTATTTTATTATCGGAGGAGACAGCTCTCTCGCGTTGGTGACCCGCGGCGACGGTGGACGCGTCCTGATGAAGGGGACGATGGAACCGTCACTCCGGGAGGAGATGACCAAGGACATTCGCATGGATGGATGTTCGGTCGTCATGCGCTGGGGAAAAGGGCTTGGAGACATCGTGTGGCACGTGGAACAGGAGCTCAACCGAGTCCAGAAGTGGAAGAACGGCCAGGAACCGCTCGCACCGGAAGGTGTCGACATTATCATCCAATGGGGTGGTAATGACGTCTATGGCGAGTATGGTTACAAAGGCTTTTCCTTCCACATGCGCAATGCGTGGGTTCGTGTTGATGATGCATTGCATGACACCCTTTCCAATTGGGAGACCAAGGGACGCAAGGCCGTCGAGGACGCAAAAGATGCCCTGGTCCGTCTCTCATCCCGGAAGGGAGTGTCCTCTGTCACGTTGGTGGCTGGCCCCCACAACGGGGAATTCTACGGGCTCCCAGAGGTCTACGACCTGGAGATGGCTCGCCACTCCGATGAGCTGAAGGAGCGAGGGATCCGCATCGTCGATCCCCAGGCTCACATCCTTTCGACAGAGCGTTACGATGGGTTTCACATGGAGGCTACCCACGACAACGTGAAGGTAACCACTCGCTGGTTCTTTCACATGTGCTCTGCAATCATGTTCGAGCGGTGGCTTGTGAAGCACGCGATGGAGCTTAAGGCCAATTCGCGTGGCATCCTCTTTCACAACCACTTTCACCTCGGACTCGGCTTGGAAGAGCTCGACATCCCTCCTACCACGGACTTGCTCATCCCGGCGGAAGCTGAGATGGTGACTTTCCCACCTGAGGCACCGCCCGTGCAACGTTTCCCAGAGGAGGAGATTGTCTTGAACCAGCCGATCCTCAGCTTGGAAAAGCTTGACGAGCTTGAGGGTGTACCGCCCACTGACTATGTCAATGAAGTGGCGAAAGAGTCAGAGGAGCTCACGGTTGAGGATGTAGTGTCTCGTAACCCGAATCCGGAGGACGAGCACCTCACCGTGGAAGCGGTTGACCCCGGCTCGGAGATGGAACAAATCGTTCGGAAAATGATTGAGTCGGTGAACCTGGTGATGACGGATAAGGAGGCTGAAGAGGTCGCCCAGGAGACGGGTGTTGCTCCATACGAGTTTGTTGAGCCGAATGTCACAGCTACATCTGTCGTGGATGGTGAGGCAGTCTCTACGATTGCTACTTCCGACATCCCGACGGAAGTCTGGGACTCCGGTCCGATGGCTGTGGACTACGGCGCAGACGATGAAGTGGAGCATCCCCGCGGAAGTGGTGGACCCATCTGGCTTACACCGGATCAGCTACCTGATGTCAAGGGTCGCATGGGATACTTTCGCCTCAATGAGATGGAGTGTGTTTCGTTGGGCAAGAAGCTGTCGTGGCACCTGCGTGGGCATGCCAAGGACAAGGGATTCCGCACTGTTGAGTTCGACGAAGAGCAGTCAGCAGAGATTGGTGATGTCTTGGAGGTCATTGGGAAACAGTGGTCCCGCCTGACGGTGATGACCATCATTGACCTGTTGACGTCCGATCACTGTGACAAAGCACGGTTCGAACTCCAGGCGGAAGCCTTGGACGAGGAGACACGGTTGGGCCGGGGAACAAACTGGCACTTTACCCGTGTCCGAGCATTCCAAGGACACAACGCCTGCTTGCTCGTCCTCGACAGCGACCCGCTGAAGACCACTGTCAAACAGTGGGCCCTCGATGATCAGTGGATCCCGTCCTATGTTGATCTACCGATCACTGGTCCGTATCCTTATCGGGCAACGGCCTTCGATCTGATGCCAAAGCTGGCGTACCACGCCACATACTGGCGAAATTTCATCAAGATCGTCAACACAGGCCTCATCCCGGGAGGGAAAATGACCTCGAAGGGCAACAGCGGGAGGCCCTTCAACATGTTCGCGATGGAGCCTCAGTGGGAACGCACCTCCAATCAGGGCGTCCGCCCTGGCGCGCAGCTGGAATTTGTGATAGACTTACAGCTCGCTGCTTGCGATGGCTGTCGGTTTTTCGAGACAAAAGCTGGAGCGCTGCAGACGCCGGATTGGATCAGCAACCGGGCCATTCTGTATGCATACGACCGGTCGACTCAGGAGATGATCTGGGCGAACCGAGCATACGAACCGGCGCGGAAGCGCTTGGCCCAGGCGTGCAAAGACAAGAGCCTCAACACGCCCATTTTTGGCGAGCGGGGTCACCAGGAACTGATCGATGCAAACGGCTATTGCTTCAACTACCTCGTTGCAGGCCTAGGGTATCGCAATTTCGACACCTGGAAAGACGCCGCTAAGGCATGCAAGGATGTCTACGACCTTGATTTCTACCCAACAAGCATGTGTGGTCTAGACATTCGCATCCCGGAAGGGCATGCCTTGCAGGGCTCTGAGTCGTTGTACAAGATGGTGGTTCACGTGGCTCCGAAGCACCCTCATCAGAAATGCAATGATGAATCGGATTGGCGCCGCCAAGAGAATGTCAGCATTCCTTCTTTTGCTTGCCCGAGCTGCGGTACATCCAACGTTGATGGTACAATCTGCTGCTATCGATGTGAGTCCCGACTGGAACCGCACTCAG